GCTCATGCGGACTAACATCTGCGTATTTGCTGCCTGTTTCAATCTCAGTGGCTGAGCAAAAAGTGGATGTGCCCGTAGTGCTTAAAATGCTAAGGGGTGAGTGCCCGTATTTGTGCGCACCGCAGCCCGAGATGGGATTTTCAAACATAGTTCTCCCATCGTTGGAAGAAACAGCCCTCGGGCATCCCCTTGTCAGCTGAAGCTGCCAGGAGGTTACCTTAAATTTGGTCTTGCAAATCTGAAGTAAAATGGAATATCTTGATGGCCTTTGGGTGCTTTTATCCAGTGCTCCAATGCAAAGACTGGTGGGTGAATCATGTTTCAGGAAGAGGGACACTTATAAGAGCAATAGCACAATACCATATAATAAAGAAAAAGACTTTCCAATTTTCATTTGGCATACAGAATTTGCAGAATGTAAATTGAGTTATAGGGCTTATTTAGAATTGGATTATTGCAATGTTCAAAAATAAAATTAAAAGCATCACTGATATGCTTAAAAAAGTAAAGCTCTACTATCTTTATTGGGGTTAGTTATGTGCAATCTTTTAAAGGTAAGAGAAATCCAACAGCAATAGTTTGGGCTTGTTTAAATTAATATTAGTGGCTTCATGGTTTCAAGATCCTGAGAAACAGGCTGCAGAAATGGATGCTGACTTAAAAGATAATTAAGATATTCCTATAATTTGGGAATACTGATGATAACCCCTGGATTTATTTCCCCAGAGGAATTTACTCCGCAATGCCCAAGCATAGCAACAGCAGAGAGGATTGACTGCATCCCGGAAGGAACAGCAACAAAGGTCTGGAAACATTATAGAGGAAACTAAAAAGGCATCATCCCATAAAGCCTTGTATTTAATTATGAAAACTTAACTTGTCTTTACTAGATCAGTTTGTTTGTTTTTATCTCTGAATGCCTGAATACTTTACAGGGAAGCATAGCCCATTATTACCAATTTCAGCCCATTGAGAAGAGTTTGCCTTTTTTTCCATCTCTTGTAATCATTTGCAATCTTTGTAATCAAAGGTTGAGGGTCCCCACCAAAGTCCACCCCTTCAAACCTCTCTTGACATAAATGGGAACCAAATCAAGCATTTTGAAAACTTCAGTGCAGATTTTTGATAACTTTACTGAAATGGGGCTTTGTGGGGCCACCAGGTGTTAATGTTTATAATAAGGAGTACTTTAATGAGTCTGGGTGCATGTTTGCAAGCCTTGTGCAGCTTGGTAAGGTGCATCCTGCACATCTCCAGGATCTGGAGGGAGACATGGCTTAAGGGTGGCCATGCATCACCCATCTGGAGCAAAAACTGGGAGGAAATACTGCTTGCCCATTCCCCTTTACATCCCAGATTAACGGCCTGCATGTGTCTAGCATGAGTTATTCAAAAATGTGATATTTTGGCATGCTTTTGTTCCTCTAAGTGTATCCAAGCTCTTTTTGTCCCACTGTGGATTGCGCAGCAGCAGCTCTGCTCTAGCCCAGGATCCCACTCATTTTTCCACTCACTCCCTTGCATGTTTTCTCCTGCAAACCTTTTGCTTGTCCTTCTTTAGGCTTATTTTTAATACTACCCGAGGCAGAGCTATGGAAACAACAGATACCTGCTTAGGAAAGAAGATAACTCTTCTGCAGTGGTTTGCAGTGCAAACTCGCAGGATAAACAGTAGTTGAGGAAAATTATGATTTACCTAAGCCCTTCTAGTAGGTCATTAGTGCTTGTCTTGACTTTTTTTTTTCCTTCATCCAAAACATCCTAAAATAAGCTAGAAAATGAGCTTTCATAAGTAGGGTTGCACAGAGTGGAAATATGGGAGGAAAATAAATATTTATTACCTGTTTGCAGGTTTGCCAAAGGTAGAAACTCTGAAAGAAAGGAGGCATTTATTAACTCTTCCCCACTGTGGCGAACTGTAACAAACTTGGCTTAGACGGGAGGAACAGGCCAATAAAAATACCTTGGAAGGGTTTTTCCCCTCTTTTTTCCAGCAATGCTCTGCTGGCGCAGGTGCCTCTGGTTTGCATGAAGGGAATGTTGCAGTTAAGCGCACGAATGAGCTGCTGTCCTAGCCCTGGGTGCCGTGGTCAAGGTCCAGGAGTCATCTTGCTGTGCACGCTGCCATAAACCCCATCCCTAATCACACTTCAGCTTTCTCTCGTTGACTTTATGGACATCTGTCACGCTGCTGTTACAGCTCCGAGGCTGTGGCCAGCTTTCATCTTTATGTTACATGATAGCTTTTATGGTGGCCTCTCCAGTGCATTTGGGATGAACTCTGCTCCTTTCTCAGCGGGGAAGGGTCTCCCACCCCACATGTGTACGTCCCTCTGCCAAGAGCTTAACCACACTGTGGTGACTTGCAAACCTGCTGGAAATGGGGAATCCTGGAAAAACATCACTGCTGCTGAAAAATGTTCATGGAGCATTCATTAGAAACACCTGGAAAATGGAAAATCATCCCTATGAAGCGGGATACTCCAACTCTTAGGTTTTGGGGTATTATCTGTTGATCAAACTGTTTTACTTTGCATGGGATATTTAGCTAATTGCTGGTCTAGGAAGAGGCAATGGGCTTGCAGTTAGGATAGTCCCCAGTATGTGGAGGAAAGGGAATGAAGAGCTGAGTTATGCAAGACTTTGCATTAATGCAACAAAAGAACTTCAGGCAGAGGGAATGGGTGCTTCTTAAGCTATCTGAGATAGCTTATAGGCTGTAATCTTTATCTTAAGCTATAATACATCTCTCATAGTGGAAGCTGGGAAGGGAGTGGGCACAGGTGTTTCACAATGTGATCCGTGGATGTTTGAGAGAAAAACAAGTCACTGGTATCTCCTGTCCAACCATTCTGCGGCACCTCCACAGTGTGCTCCAGAAGTGATTGCCATCAGCACCAAAGCCCCAGCTGTAACACCCTGCAATATATCTTAAAAAAAAAAAAAAAAATTCCATCCAAAATGGTCCATCACAGATGGAACAAGGCAAAATCCTTGGCAAAAACTTCAAGAGCTCCTGTGAGTTGGCAGGTGGAGACTGAGGTCCTGGAGACCTGCAGGTGGACTTGGCACCTGCGATCCCCCATGGATGGGGATGGCCCTTTGCTCCTGCTGGAGCCTCTTACGTTGCTGCTGCCCCTTGACCCTGGTCATGAGTTATTTCTGCAGCACGTGACGATGCGGGGACACTTACAAGTGATATATTACCCAAATCTTACCCGCAGAGGTAAAGCCCACACAAAGAATGTGTGAACCAGTTAATTTCTAACCACAAACCAAAGGCACTCTGCTTTACCAGCCTGCTGAGACGTGGGGTAAAGGTTGGTCCCGCTGCCCTGATGTATCTGTTTAAAACAATAGAGTTAATTACTGGAGGAGAGTTGGGGGAGAAAAAAAAAAAAAAACACTGATTTATATTGGGTCGAGGCTATTTGGAGGTATTTTTAGCCTTTATGGTAGGGCAACAGCAGGTTAAAATGAATATTATACCAGCTAATCAATGATGACATTGAAGGAAGTTATTGCTTTGCTTTTCTATATGCAAAATATTATAACTACTGAACTATTTAAATTATGTTTTGAACTATTATTAAAGTTTACTTCCTACTATTAAACTTCCATCCATTCTGTGCTAGGTGACTCTTGGTCAGATTGTTCCTTTTACTTGCGGATCTCGTGGCTTTGAGAAAGAACGAATGTCCCAGATTCTTATTTTTCCCAGCACCAACAAGCAAACTTCTACTCTGAATCCAGAAAACAACTTTCTATTTATTCTGTGCCAGCACATTCACCTGATTGATAGACTTTTCACAGAAGGGGTCAATGTGACTGCAGATATGACACAGGGGTGCTGGGGTAAAACACACTTCTTGCACATTTGGATTATTGTAACGGAGGGAATTATTTGTGTATGATGCTCTTATTTGTTCCTTTCTCACCCCAGGACCTCTGCACCCAACGTGGCTGCTGTTGGAGCCCGCAGAGCGACACCAGCGTGCCCTGGTGCTATTTCTCTTCCAACCATGGGTACCAAGTGGCTGGATCCGTGCAGACAACCGCGGCGGGTAAGGGCATTCCCGGCTCCCGGCCCACGGCACTTGGTGTCCCATCCAACACTGCAACTGGTGGCTTTTTCCCTAAGGGTTCCAGGCTACGTTGACAAGGCTCTCAGCACCGTCCCTCTTTGGCAACGATATTAACACTGTGCTCCTCACGGGAGAGAATCAGACACAGAATCGCTTCCACTTCAAGGTTGTTTTTGTTGTTGTTGCTTTGTTTTGTTTTGTGTGTGTATATATATATTTAAGGTTTGGGAAATCAATTGTGTAAAATCTGAATAATGGGAACTCTCATTCCATGGGAAAAATCCTCTCAGTTCAAATAATAAAGAAAATATCCTGGATGGATAGACAAGCTGGCTGCATAGGTTTACAAAGTCTTAATTCCACCGTTTGTTGACTTTGATCCCTTGTTGTCTTAATGATGTTTTGACAACTTTTTTGCTAAATCAAAAATGTCTGATTGTGCTGGAAGACATAAGAATTAGACATTAATTTCTAATTTTTAATATGTGCAGATCACTGATCCTAACGCACAAAGGTTTGAAGTCCCCCATGAACATGTGGGAACCTTCCAAGGATCTGCGGCCTCCAACTTAAAGTACAGAGTCGACATTGAGCACAATCCCTTTGGCATCCTGGTGACCAGAGTGAGCAATGGGAAAGTCCTGTAAGTAACTTTGGTGCTTTTGATGAATAACACTGGCATGATTTGTTTTCTCTGATTTTTGATGTTGAGCATAAGTGATATACGGCCAAGATAGCATGTATATGAGGCACGTAATCTGCCTCTTCTGAGAGGTGAACATTTTGAAAGGATTCTGTTGAGGGCTTCAAAATATCTGCTGTGGCTAATTTCAGGTCTGACCATATTGGACCTTTGTCCTCTTTCCTCTTAATGCCAGGGAAAATCTCCACAGCTTCTTTCTTCAATCAATTCACGGAATCCTAACCTATTGAATGTTTTCATCCCCTTCATTTCCTACCGATAAATAAGCAGAGCATGTCTGCTTTGCACCTCACTGCCCAGCTTTCCAACTTGCTTGGAGGGGGAAGTGTTGGAAGTAACACGCTCCTCGATCAATCGAGGAAAGATTGCCCATCACACTGCTAGGAGGACTGGGATTGACATGAACTTGTCACATTTAATTAACTAGCAATTACTTTTGCACTGTTGTTAGTATCATTTACCTAAAACAGTCTGTAATGATTGATTTGCAATTATGGAGTTCAGTCTATAGATGGACTTGCTATTCAGCAGTCTATGACTGATTAAATAGGTGGATGGAGGGGAGAATAAGCAATTTGGTTCAATAGGACCAGTTTGACCTGAGGCTCTGGTAGACTGCTTATAATGTCCTTAGGTATTTATTTAATTTGATTTTAAAAAAGTTGCATTTTCTTGCTTTAAAGGCAAAAAAAAAAATACAGATATGCTTGGTAGTGACTTTGAGTATCTAAGCGCAAGCCAATGTTAAAAGTAGGGATAATTGTAGGCCCTCAGGTGTAAATCCTTGATAAATTTATTTACACAGGATAAGCACTCTTCCCCAACAAGAAAAACATCCAAAGAAAGGGGAGATCCCTTGCATAAGGATGAATGAGAATCAATATTTTATTGCAATTAATTAATACTACAATTAATTAAAAGTCTTAATTATCCAAATAGCAATAGAGCCCACTTCATCTGTAGAACCCACTTCATCACCCACCCATCATCATTTGTTACCCTAGAACCTTTCCCCAAATGTTAGTGCTCTGATAGACCCATGACTACCAACATATGAAAGAAAATACCAAAAATTCAGAATTTTGTAGAAAGTATAGATTTCTTTTTTTCTCACCAAAAACCTAGTCTTAGCTTTTTTTGTGAACAGATGGGCAAGACAGTCCTTGGAACTATTAAAACTGAGCGAAAATAGATCAGATGATGATTTAACCCCTGAATCTTTTTTTCTTTACCTCTTATATATATGTATATATATATACATATATGTAGATATATATACATATATGTGTATATATATGTATATATATGTATATATACACATATATGTGTGTATATATATGTATATATATGTATATGTATATATACATATATAAGAGGTAATATGAATGGATTATAATTCTAGAAAGCCCTACCTTCTCTGCTGTTGTGACTTTTTTTTGCTTTTTCTAGCAGTTGATAACACACTGTATATTTGCTTAGTTTAAGGACCTCTTATCCTAGTAATAATGTATTTATAGTGAGACATACAGATATGTTGTATATAATACTGCACTATATCAGTATTTGTGTTAGTGTAATCCATTCAGAGTGATAAATTCTCATTAAAATGAATGCCAGTGTGTTTGTGTAAAGTTAGGAGAAATTTATGTGACTCCTTTACAGGACCAACAAATTATGTCTTCTAGGTTGTCACAAATATACCAAACACAGATTGTAAAACGGGGTCAATTAAAAATGCACAAAGAAGGTAGACAAAAGCACATTGCTTTGAAACTGTGCATGGCATTGAAACGTACCAGGTAGCAGTTGTTGCCAACTCCAAGTCAGTCATTTTCTCTGCTTTTGGTGAAAGGCTCTCTGTTTCTCTAGATCCCCATAAGCCTTTAGCTTAATAAAGCTGAAGATAACTTTCAAATCTGAGGATCAGCTTCGTTCCAATTGCTTTGAGCTTTAAATCTGGTTTAACTCATAATTGCATTCTATTTATGACTGTTTCATTTTAAAAAATGATGATTGAGGGGAAAATAAAACCACTTCTGGTAGGAGTCAATTTTAATGCATTTCTCTATGGGGAATGCTAAAAATCTCAGAAATACAGAGGAAAGCAAACATTGATAAGTTCAAAAGTAATGACATTAAATGTTTGGATGGATGGGAACTTTTTTTTCTCTAATTTGTAATTTCATAGGGGGAAAAAGAGTAAATATTTCAAACCTATTTCTATTTTGGGTTTTCTAAAAAAGTGAAGGTCCTCTGCAGCTGGAGATCCAGTTAAGGAGGCCACCTGCTCCCGTGCTAATATCCCCACCAGCTCTCCAGTCCTGCCCATAGAAACAAGGAAGGAAATTAGTATTTTTAAGTATAGCAAGTTCTCCTAATCCTCAGGCAGAAGATTAGGAATTTTTCAGTGAAGAAAGGGATTGGTAAAAGGGTGCAAAGTTAAATTAATAGAAGATGTTTTATTAATAAAATTGGCTTTTACTATATGTTTTGCTAAGAAATGGAAATCAGTAATATTGATCTCCAGCTTGCTCTGTTTAGGAAAATACATATTGAAAAAGGATGACACCACCAACTTCCTGTTCCTAAGGATAAAAACCCTAGCAGTTGATTTATGCAAGGTTTCCCGTGTAAAATATGATAGCTATCAGCTGGGATTGGGCATGTTAAGGATTAAATAATTGCTGTAATCCATCCTCGAAGAGGCTCTTGCCTCCTCTCCTGGTTTGCTGCAGCAGGGAGAGAAGGGCCAGCGTGAGGCTATTGAGCTGCCATGGACTTGAAAAACCTGGTGAAAAGTCTATTATTTCTGTATTCCTTTCCACACATGGAAATCTTCCATCTTCCCAGCTATGGTGCCAGTCATGGGGACAACCCTAAACCTCCACCCAACCCAGCTCCATCAAGACCCTACTCTGCTCTAACAATGAGGAGTTGTTATTGCTAAAATACTTGATTATTATTATTATTATTATTTCTTGATCAGATTCAATACCACCATTGGGCCACTGCAGTATGCTGACCAGTACTTGCAGCTCTCCATCAAACTGCCCAGCAGCAACATCTACGGTGTGGGCGAGCACGTGCACAAGCAGTACCGACATGACACCGACTGGAAAACAAAAAATCAGCAGGGACATTGGCCCCTCCGGGGTAAGGGCTCCTGTCATCCCTTGCCCATTAGTTTGGGAATCCAGACACGCTACGCAGTAGACACATTAATAACATCCATTGAGAAGTAACATCATTGAGTTTCTCCCCAAAGACTTGTCAGGCGCCTCAAGTTCCTGCTAAAAGCTGGATGCTGCTGTTGAAAGTTTCCCTGAGGAATAGGTTTTTACAAATATTTTTTTTCTTCCTTGTGCTCATGTAAAGTGTTGAAAATCACTTGATAAACACTAATATAGGAGAGTCTTCGGTTCCCACCGACACACAAAATAAATAACATGTTTGAATGCATCGCTGCGTGCAGAACGTGCACTTGCAGATAACAGCTCTGTAGTCCCACAAATAACAGCACAACTCCACTTAACATCTGCTTCCCTACAAGATAAAACATGACTGTCTGCAGGTATTTGTTTTGAGCCTTCATGGCTGTCGTCTTCAAAAATGATTTCCAGGGCACCCTCTTTCCAATGCCTATAAGAGAGAAATCTTGCATGTGCACGGATACTTGTGTAGGTTTAGATCCAAGTTGCTCCAATGTGAGCAGGGTGATGAACTGTATGGAAAAAGAGCACTGAACACCCTATGCGTTGGGTGGTGTGTAATCAATATGTATAGACTTTATGGAATGAGAAATCAATGTAGACTGTGAGGGAAGGAATGTTTACTAATAATGCATTTGCTTTCATTTTTACACAAGTTAAACTAAACTGATTTATTTAAAACCAGCTTGTGAACCTCTGATAGCTGCAATTTGTCCCTATTGCCCTAGTTTCATAAAGCAACAGTCCCTATGCTTTATTTTGAGAGAGATCTTAAACATTTTGCTATAATAGAAGCTATATGAGTCGGATCCCTGTCTATAATTAATTAATAATTCAAAATTAGCACCTCTGCTCTGGAAACTTTTAGTGTGGGAGTTTTTCACATAAAGGGATTGCCATGTTGGGCTGAGATATGGCCCAGCAACAATGGTTGCAGGGAGTCCAATGGGGCCAGATGGTGAAAATTGGATAGTAGGTACCTACAGGAATGATTGCTGAGATTTGCTCTCCTTTGAGCCTCCATTATCTCCCTGTCCCTTAGCCCATGGGTGAGGAAGGTCCCTGTAAAGATACTGGAAAATATATTTCCCCCCTCCCTTTGGAAATTTGATTGCTTCACGGTAATTTGGTAGGTAATTATGACCCTTCCAGTCTAATTGTAGAGATGGCAACTCAGGGTGCGACTTGGACCAGTGAAACGCTGTGAAACTCAGTTTTGTCTTCAGAACAGAAATCTAAATTAGCACACATTTGTCTCGCTATAAACAAGCACTATTTAGAAATCATCGCCTTGATTTCCCATCTCTACTGAATTTTCAGCTTATAAACCGCTTCTTTTTAATAATTAGCATAGGGAGAATTGAAGATGGTTCTTATCTGAGTGGCTTCATTGAATGTAGACTAATTAAGTTAAACTAACAGTGAACAAAATTAAGTTAGGCTAATTTCAAATAGCTAAGGTTAAGTTCCTCATTAATTTGTTCTGAGTTTTGTGGAAAATAAGCAACTATGACAACAGCTGTTATCATTTATAAGGTTTTTGTTGCTAATAATATGAGGAGAAAACAATAGAAATGAGCCAAAAAAGGAACCAGGCTCTCTCCTATTTACACAGATTAAATGTAAAAGTGATTGCCTTGTAGGATTAATCATAACGTAGGTTAGATGTAAAATCTTGCACCACCTTTTAGGGTATATTGTTCACCTGATGTGCATACTTAGTACCCACAAATAGCATTGCAATATATGTAAAGCCACTGTAAATTCCATCATATCTATTTGCTTATCTTTTGAAAAATTTCTGGAAATATAGAGATTTAATGGCAAACATTCATATAAAGGAGAAAAATGCCAGAAAGTGGAAAAACAAAGCATAGAAAAGTGTCAGTGTACTTAATTCTGTTGACTGGTGCATTTTGAGAAGCTTCAAGTTGTCTGTGATATCTTTTGAAATCTCCTAGAACACAGATACACAGATATTTATTAAATTAACTTATTTATTTTATTTTTAGGACATGAATAACTTATATGGAGTTCAAACTTTCTTCCTGTGCTTGGAAGACAACACTGGTGCCTCTTTTGGTGTCTTCTTAATGAACAGCAATGCCATGGGTAAGAAAGCTTTCCCTGTCACCCAGTCAAAAAAATGCAGTTAGATTTCTTTTAAAATGATTTATGCTGAGTCTCTGATCTAATGCGCCTGAGCTGATGTGGGTGTTCCTTATTGAAGACATTTGAAAAATTATTGAGAAAAGAATATGCCTTTGAGTTTCTTGTGATTCTCTTCTTTTTGTGGGACCAATGCAAACGTGGAGATTTTAGAGTCATCTGAATGTGCTTCCCCTCCACTGCAAGTGCAAGTCATGGCTTCATTTCCTTGGGTGTTCAGGAACTGTATTTTTCCCTAAGCAAATGTTCTTCCAGTCACTCTCAGCATGAGTCCTGGTAGATTTAGTGGCCGTTCTTGTCCGGCAGAGTTTGTAGTGCAGCCGGCCCCAGCGGTGACTTATCGAACCATCGGAGGGATCCTTGATTTCTATGTCTTGTTGGGGGACACGCCGGAGCAAGTGGTGCAGGAATACCTGCAGGTATGGTGCCCAAGGGGAAATACACTGAGAATTTTCCATCATATTTGTCAAAGTGCTTATTTTATTCCCCTCTTTATACGTTATTTACGAATGGATGGTAAAACATACTATTTGCATAACTCTTGACATGTCCCCAGTGTGACTGGGGGTGGGTGGCAGGAGTCAGGCTGGGGCATGGAGGTGGTCAGCTGGGCTTGTGCTTGCCCACTGGATCTGACCTGGATGCAAGGACAAGTTCTTCTCCTCATGGCAATATCACAGGGTGGGGACAGGTTATAGGAGATGGGAGAAAAGCAGCCAAGATGTTCCCATTTGCACTCCTCACAGCTGGATGACATTTTAGTGATATCAGAAAGCAAGTAAGTTTATAAACAGTATTGCACCTAAGGGATGGGTCAAATGAAGTCATAAAATAAATGTAGGAGGGCATAGTAATGTTCAGGTAGCTTCAGCATCCCCCAATATCTGCTCTTGCCCTGCAGCTGGTGGGGCTGCCGTTGCTGCCGGCCTACTGGACCCTGGGCTTCCAGCTCAGCCGCTGGAACTACGGCTCCTTGGACGAGGTCAAAGCCGTGGTGCAGAGGAACCGCGACATCGACCTGCCCTACGTAAGCACGACCGGGCTGGGCACGGGCTGTGCAGGCATCTCGGGAGCTTTGCTTCTCCATGGACGTCTCCCACATCAGTCCAAGATAGTGAACGTCTGTTCAATGTGTGCAGGCATCTGCAGTTGAAAGATTTTATGAATTTTAAAGGTAGACCTGTTGACAGAACATGGGAGACACTCAACCTCAGAAGCTTTGCTTTGTCCCTTTTATCACAATGTTTTTTTCAGCAATCCTTTTCAAGTATACTCATTTCTTTTTTCTAATTTGTTACCTAATCTTTTGTTGATGTTCTGAGGACAAGAGGATTAAGGAACTGTTGGTTGCTTCTTAATTTTTAATGAAGCCTTGCAGTTAGATTTCAAGTTAAATTAGACTAATAGCTTCAAATGAAGAAAACAAAACAAACCTCAAACTAACTTTAAGCCAGCTTTAAGAAGAAAAAGAAATGTTTTAAAGGACTAGCTCTAGATGTTGAGCAACTCAACCGACCAGAGTTGTGCATCATTTATGTATGATGCTTTTGGCACACTCTCTGCCGGAAGGAAGTAGAGTCGCAGCCATAAATTCCCTTCAGGATGAGTGGAAATTCTTAGGAGAAAATTGTAACTGGGGAGTCATCACATAGATCCTTTAGCTATCACCTACCACGCTGAGGCTAAATTACCTTTTCCTTCAGGATGTTCAGTACACCGACATCGACTACATGGAGGAAAGGAAAGATTTCACTTATGACAAAGTGAATTTTAGAGATCTACCTGATTTTGCAAATTATATGCATGGCAATGGACAAAAATATGTTCTCATCTTGGTAAGCTCTTTATTATTTCTTTTTCCATTTTAAATGCTGTCATTATAATTATGTATTATTATGGTCTACATATTTTTACGCAGTTTTTGCATTTATTGCCTCCCATGGTAGTTCTAGATAGTTATTGGTAAAGCATAGCATGGTTTCTTTCTGCTTTTTGTTTTCCCTGCTTTTAGGATCCTGCTATTAGCACAGATAATCTTGTGGATGGGAGCCCGTATGGAAGCTATGTCAGAGGAGAGAGCCAGAAGGTTTGGATTAATGAATCAGATGGAGTAACGCCGCTAATTGGAGAGGTAACCCCATTTTTATGACCATGAAACTCTAGCTCTTGGCACTGCAGTGATTTAATATGGGAGGAGCAGCTGATGTCAAAAATCATTTTCAGAATATTTTTACTAATATTCTTTCAATTGAGAACTAATAATAATAAAAGCTCACATAGCATAGGACATTTCCACTTTTTCTTAGAGATTTTTTGGAAAAAAAGGAAAATTGTTATTTCAAAGGCTCAAGGCTTGTTAGCTAGCTCCTATTTATTTTCAGTGGTCACTGAAGAGCCAAATTCCACCTTATGCTTTTGAAAAATTCTCTATAGTATCTTATGAATTAAGCGAAGTATTGTAATTCATAAAATTTAGAATTAATTTAGACTTATAAGCAACTGAAAACTTCACAAGTAATGAAGTGGTGTTCTTTCTGTCGCCTTCTTGAGCACAGGTTATTGCAGTTTATTATGCAAAAGTTTTCTCCAAATCATTATACTAACACTGCCCTAAACAGAACTTGAGTTGAAACTGTGCAAAAGCTCAGAATCTGAGTTTCTAAGCTCCAAACACTTTTAAAGGGTTTCATTCAAATACAACTGACAAGCTAGAGTATTTTTTTCACCTCTAGCAGAAGATATTAATGTCAATATACCTTATTAGGTATGCACAAACCCAGCAGAGAATAAAGGTTTCTGAAGTGATATTGTTGAAATGTTATGAGATTGTGTCCATGCATAAACCCCGCTGGTTTCTGATAGACTTCATTTCAAATATATTTGTTTTTTTTTTTTTTTAAAAAAAAAGTAGAAGCCAAGAAAAATGAAATAGCATGTAGATATTAATCATGCCAAACTAGTTAGCAGCTTAATCAAATATTTTCCTTTGAATATTGCAGGTGTGGCCAGGAGTAACCGTATTCCCAGACTTCACCAATCCTGACTGCACCAGCTGGTGGGCGGAGGAATGCAGATTATTTTACGAAACGGTGCCCTATGATGGTATCTGGATTGTAAGTAACATAGGATTTCTGTTTTTCTAAAAAAAAAAAAAAAAAAAAAAAAAGGAATGGCCAGATGTTGTATTAAATTTCAAAGGGGATGCTCACTGCTACTAACCTGGGAATCGATGTAGGACTTGCACATCTTTTGCTGTTGAATTTGCAATGAATATTTGGACCTGAATTTTAAATCTGAATTTGAAACTTGCATGCGTGCTGAGAGAGTCTGTCTTGAACAGGTCCCGAGTATGGCTTACTATGCGCAAAATCAATGGTGCTGCTCTCCAGGTAGCTCATAGAGTTTCAAGTTAGTAAATAGCAAGTGCTGCTCCAGAATGGGATTTGGATTAACATCTCTTAAACAGGTTCTCCCACCAAAAGCTTAATAGGGAATGTGGCACAATTATTTTTAGGCTCAGTTCACAGAAATCAGGTAAGATTAGGGACTATTTGCCTCACTCAGATTAGTCTCTCACAAAAATATGCTGTAGAAAAGCTTTTAAAGGTGGGTGCCTGAAGGAAATCTGTATTTAAACTTCTTAATCCCTGTTTAAGCACCTGAGCAGGGATTTAATTTCTTTTTCCTAGATACAGAGCACCTAAAGCTCATTTTGGCTCAGAAAGATTTATAGATACTCAACCGCTCTGAGAAAAAGCTCAAGCTATATGGAGGCACCTATGTGTGGCTACAGAAAGGCTTGTCTACATTCACATTTATTAAAGATCCTATAGCATTAAAGGTTTCTGTATTTTTCTGCCTTTGCACTGAGATAAAAAAACCCTACTTAGAAGTACTGTACAATTTTAAATATAATATCTTAATTTCTCTCTGTATAGTGTTGCTGAAAGGATCGATGTCTTTAAACTCACAAAACCTGGATGAATGCATTTTCCTTAGGTAGACAATAGATTTTTAGGCTATTTTTATTCTGTTCTGTGACATGCTGGTGTCTCATTCCCCCAAACCTGGTAGTTTTCATCACAATGAGCTCCAGATTTACATCTGCAATTTTAAATTCTGGGAATGGCTCTAATCTCACAAAGCAAAGCACAAGTATATGCTTTGAATAGTTGGGATAGAGCTACATCTCAGCAAATTCAGTCTGATTTATGCTGATACATTTTTGAGCCTGGGGGCAGAATCCCATGTAACCATATTGCATACTTTGCCCTCATTGCTCTTAAGCCTACAGCAAAAGACCAGACTAAGATGTCATTTTTTGTTTAATAAAAGCTGAAACCAGAGAGCTCAGGAAAAAAGGAGGAAGGAACACTGGAATTTTATTTAGCAACTATTTTCTAGTAGGACCAAAAGTTCTCACTGACTTTTGTGCTTGCAATAGCAAATGCAACCTGGCATAGCAAGCTTTCAAATACATTTTTGAGTTTATCACCTAGTTTATCACCAACTATTTGTATAAAAAAAATACAATTATTCCTTCAGGGATACGAGGAATAAAACATAAAGTCCTGTCAGGAAAAGTTACTAGGGGAAAATTTCTTATATGCTGTTTCTTGTGTTTTTCAGGACATGAATGAAGTATCCAACTTTGTAGCAGGCTCAAATAAAGGCTGTGAGCAGAACGACTTAAACTACCCACCCTTCACTCCCAGTAAGTCCCTTGTCTCAAACCACGAAGAACAACATGAAAAAAGTGGATGTGAAGGATATAAAGTGACATTTTTATAGGTCTTGTGGATGGAGTCTGCTTATTCCTATTGACAGAAAATGCAAGCATGCCTTGGCTGTGGTCGAAGGCGTGGGTAGTATAACTCATGAGAAAAAATGGCTTTTTCTTACCCTTTCAAATTGTTATTGAATGTTATCATTGCCTTAATTATGTATAATAACATATTGATCTTCTTTCACCATCGATGGTTTCAGAGATGTATGCAGAGCTAAAATGGAAATCAGATTTTTATTAAGTAATAGCTTTAAGTAACCATTGCCAATAAGCTGTCAGATCAAATGTAGTAAAAATGGCATTTCCTCTGACCTCAGACATACAGATATGATTCAAATTAAATACAAAAGTTCTAGTTCCCATCTGTTCTAAGTTGCATCTGTAGTGTCTCCAGTTTTGTATTTAATATAGAAAATTAGAAAAGAATTACCTGTTGGTTAACTGGAAGCTACAACTTTAAATGTTTGGAATCAAAATGTACTCAAAAACTGATATCTGTCTCTGTTTATTGAAGGTATTCTTGATGGACTGATGTTTTCCAAGACGCTCTGTATGGATGCAGTGCAGAAGTGGGGGAAACAGTACGATGTCCACAGCCTTTTTGGCTACTCCATGACCCTCTCAACCCATCAGTAAGCAATGCTCCCCAATATCCTTACAAAAAACGGTACAAAAGTATATGGCTGCGTTTTCAAAAACAGCAGGAGATTTCACTACTGATTCTTGGATGACAGGAGTTATCAGGCCCCTGAAAATCCAGTCCTCCTACAATTCCAAAATTCACTGAAGCTGAGCATCCAAAATAACTAAAAAAGACAAAAAAGACAAAAACCAAAAAAGACCAAAAAAAAAAAAAACTCATTATGTCTGGCATCTTATTGCAAAGTTCAAAAAATACCAGGCTTTATTATTTAAACTTCAGCTGCACTGAAGTCTTAAAGGATAGTAAGACTTTCATTAGAAAATTAATAGGAAAAAAAGTATAAAAGTGTGGTGAGCTGCTAGCTATGTTTTGATAATTTTGAACTAGTCAAACTACTTGAAAACCTGTGTAAATCAATTTTACTGCAAATTGAAGAACAAATAAAGCAATGATTCCGAGCTCTGCTAGCACAATGCTATGGGCCACTATTATAGAATTTAAAATGTCCTCATCTCATTTTGCATCTCAAGTTTTGGCTAGGTTAGGCATCTTACCCACTGCATGTTCTTTTTTGTGCGCTCATGGAAAAGGAATAACTCCTTTTGCTCCTTCTCTAGGGTGATTATTTCTTTGGTTGGTGTTTTTGTTTGTTTGTTTTTCATTTTTTAAGACAAAACATTATGCCCTCTTACAGTTCAGACTGGCATAAGAGTTTGTTGAACAAGCAAAAATCTCTGTTAATTCATGTAAGCCAATGCAGCTATGGCAAAATATCACAACTACAGTCCCAGTCCAAAATATTTAGAAAGGTAAAACAGGATTAATATCATGAACATATTAGGTAAAGGAGTTTCTGTCCCTTGGACTGTCTATTAATATACATTAGGGGGGTTGGACTAGATGACCTCTAGAGGTCCCTTCCAACCTTAAGCATTCTATGATTCTATGATACAAATTTCCCTGATATAAAAACCACTGGTTTCTGAGGCTTCTCTTCTGCTTTGCCTAATTCCAGCCTTGCTTCCTTCTCAGAGCCATCCAGACGGTGTTTCCAGGCAAGAGGAGCTTCCTTCTTTCGCGATCCACCTTTATCGGGTCGGGAAAGTACACGGGACACTGGCTGGGGGACAACGCGGCGCTGTGGGACCACCTGAGATGGTCCATACCCGGCATACTGGAGTTCAACCTCTTCGGGATTCCCTACGTAAGAAATAACACACGGATAACATCAATGTCTGCAAAATCTGGTCATCGACTTAAGCACTTAACATAATCATACTATCTTCTTAGCTATGAATTAATACTCTTTAAGAATCTGGTTTTAACATTTTCCTGCCCAATTGTTGACTCTTTTGGTTTAGGTTTTTTGGTTTACTTTGATTTCTCTGGGTGTGGGGGTTTATGCATGGTGGGATACATGTGTGCATCAACCATGCTACTTTACATATTCCAGGTTGCCTGTTACCACCAGTATTTTTTATTCATCGGTGATCGAGGTGGAACATTTCCGTGTGTTCCTTGGCATTTCAGATAAAATAAGAGCAATCATGTATAAATGAAAGACATGGGTTTCTTTCCATATTGGCATTTCTAGGACTTTTGAACTGTTTTCCTAATGTATGTACATTAGCATGTACAGGAGAGTAAAGACTCAAAAGCAAAAGAGCAATGAGCAATGTTAGCTAGTAGTCACTTACCTATTGTTCATAATGTCAAAGGTCTATGGACACTTAAATTCCTGTGCCTGCACTATGCAATTGAGTTAATTCTAATATGAGTTGCACAGAAAAGGTATCTGCAGGGATAATTCTGCGTCACATAATAGATTCAAAACTTCAGTAATTCTGGTAGAGTTTCAATCAAAGAAAAAGACAACGGGCTAATTTACTTATGGATTAGAAATTTGAAAGAAGAAAGACAGAAATGCGTGGAATGGTTCTATTACCCTGGCTATCAGTTAAGGATGAAGTAGTCTATCTCCAGAAATCAGTATTTGAAGATCTGTATGGAGCTTAGAGGAGCTATACACTGCCCATCCAATGCTTTTCTGGTTTTACTTTTAAGGTTGGAGCAGATATTTGTGGTTTCTTTGATGACACCACAGAAGAACTTTGCCTACGGTGGATGCAACTAGGAGCATTTTATCCATTTGCCAGAAATCACAATGCTGAGCTATACATAGTAAGTTGTACCTTCTCTTACAAAATTTGTCTTGTGTTATTATTGCTGATAATTGCATAGTTGACTAGTTGGAAATTGGTAAAAACTTAAGCTGTCTTTCCGAAATCTTAGCTTCATCAGGGTTAGTTATAAGTAGTACGTTTTTCTGCCTACATTAGTGTGTCTACAGTGAAGGTGAAATGACCCACCAGACTGATCCTTGGGAGCACCCAGGATGAAACCTGGAAGAAGCTTTGACCTGCGGGTGGGCAGGGAAGGACCTGCACCCAAATGGACCACACAGTCCATGGGCCATGGCCATGTAGATGTGCACCATCGCCATGCACCTCTATGGACACATCAACCACTTTCTACCTACTAGACATATCTATCACCACCCAAACTTTCTCTGCTTGATGGCAATAACAATCTACTATTTATTTTCAGCCTCAAGATCCAGCTGTGTTTGGGGCTGATTCGATTTTGGTGAAAACTTCAAAGCATTACTTGACTATCCGCTATACCCTGCTTCCCTACCTGTATACGCTCTTCTACAAAGCTCACACTCGAGGAGACACTGTTGTACGGCCAGTTTTGCACGAGTAAGTTTACTGATCTGGCTTTAGAATACTTTCATTGCAGAAAAAAAAAATATTCAAAATGGTTAAATGTTGTTAGGGACTATCCGAAGACATATATAATTTCTGACAGTGAATATTGGAATATATATGCAAAGCTTCTAAATTTCCGAAATACCATTTTGAAGTAATCAGAAGAGAAATCATATGCAATTTCAGCATATATGCATGCATTACTGTCAGCTGCTCCAAGACCTGCTATGAAGCATCTTTGTCAGTTAATGAAGTTATTCCCCACCATGGCATGAGTTTTAGGATTTGTGTGTGCTGTGTTTTTTTTTTTTTTTTTTTTTTCCTGGAAACTCTGGAATAAATCTATGCTAAAAGCACACACCCACAAACACATGCACATGCAGGCACACTGACGTATATTTATAATATAACTAACTGCACTCATAAGCCTGTGAACTTACACTGAAGGCTGCTTCAGGTGAAAATAGACCCGTGCAGTTTTGCTGCGATGCTTTCCAGTAGACATTCGAGAAATGAGGATTGCTCATGATGGCAGCGTAGTTAGTCAAAACAACCAGTGTCATTTCTTTTCCATTTGTCCAGGTTTTATTCTGACGAAGAAACGTGGAGTGTTGACGGACAGTTCCTGTGGGGTCCTGGGCTGCTCATCACTCCTGTGCTCGACGAGGTAGCTGTCGCTGTCTTGATTTCCTTTTTTCATAATAAATTTGCAGGGAGTGGAGCCATTGCAGCTCTGTTCTCTCTTGGGGGTCTGCAGCTCAACACTCCAGCAAATTGCGTTTATTGGTCCCTCTTCCCATCATCCCTTTATTGCTTTGATTGAAAGTACCCGAGTTTTAGCCTCTGTTGTTCAGTTTTGTGATGGTTTTGTTCAGCTTAAAGGCTATAGCTCCTCAGCTTGCTATCCATCTCTTGTGATCCACCTCCTTTTCTATGCTCAGTGGCAAAAATAGGATAATTTTCCTTCTCTAACGAGCCTAGTGAATTCTCCATGGTCCTAGAGACCTTGTTCATCAGCATTAATATAGCACTGTCTCCAGCGGAAATATTTCTCTCAGTATAGCCACAGATTATATTTATTTTTCATGGATGTATCAAATTCATTGACTTATAGCTATCTTGGGGTTCCCCATGAGCCTCTCTCTTTTCTTCCTTCATTTGTTGCTTCCACGGAGGGAGACCACAACATATTTTTATCACTGTCTAAATGGAAAATCTCATACCTTGTGCTATTAAATTCTATTTCTATTTTTGTGTCCTTTAGGGAATCTACTTCCTGTAGGATATTTTGATTCACTCTGCTTCATATCAGCTCTGAATTTCATTCAGAAGCAGCTCTTCTCACTTCATTCCGCTTTATCTCTAGTGCAGTACAAAAACAAATAAATCATGGCTTTTCCCTGTTGCAAAAACTTGCAAAAAATGTTAGTTAATTCCAGTAACACACATGCTGTGTAGAAACACAAAATGTTTGTTAAATACTTAAGTGGGAATGTAAAAGTGGAGATGTTCGAGAATATCCTTTGGGAGTGAACAGGAAGTGCTACGATGTTGGACTGCACACATGGCAGAAAGCTAGTAAAGCAAATCAGGATAAGAAGTATCAATGATCTTCCCATTGTGAATGATGATTTTTGACATTTTCTGTTATTTCATTGACTTGCCTTCTGATGTGAAAGTTGTTTCTTGCCCCTCAGGGTGCAGATGTGATCCAGGCATACATCCCTGACGCAGTGTGGTACGAGTACGAGACGGTAAGAAAATGCCAAGGATCTGCTAATGTAAAGGGAATAGTGAGAGCCAAGTGGGGGTGAGGGCAGGGATCACAGCTGCAAGGGAAGTCCCAAGGGCTGGAGCAATGCGGGAGGCAGGTTGCATGGAAATTTGAGCAAAGATCATGTTTTTGGCAGTAAAATACACTGATAATTAATAATAATAATGCATGAGAATTTGCAATAATCTTTTGTCGATCCCCCTGCTTGTTCTTTGTGGTGCTAGAACAGAAATTAAGCCCATGGGCATTGATTCATGTTTGTTATTGATCGAGGGTTGGTTTATCTTCATGAGACTGAATAGATATATAGATAGCAATATTGAGAGCATGATGACAGATCCTTACCTAACTTAAAAAGAAGATTTAAGAAGAATTTTGGGTGTTAAGAGTGCACCCGTAGTAGTGAGTAACGTCACAATCTGGTTCTCTTTTTCTTTCCTCATCATAAGGGGACAAAAATCTCCTGGAGAAAAGAGTGGATTGACATGTTCCTACCAGCAGATAAGATGGGACTTCACTTGCGGGGAGGCTACGTATTCCCATTCCAACAACCAGCCACCACAACTGTAGATAGGTGAGCTCCAGGTCACTGCCACGGCTGCTTACATGACATATTTCATGACTAACCACAGGCTCATCTGCACGTTTCGTAAACTCCCCCTGCATTGTAACAGTTTATATGAAAATGCAAGGCAATTGAGGGCTTAATCTACTTCTCCAAGTATTAGAACTCACCAGAGCCCCAGATTTTTGATGTGAATGTGGAAGATATATGAAGGCTGTCTAGTTATTTT